TTCTGTTGCTACGCGAGACATCTGTTAAGTGAACTTTGCCCCATTTTACCACCTTCCTTGCCCCGGTTGTTAAGTGAATCACTGCAGTTGTTAAGTTAGTGGTTGTTAAGTGAATCTGGCTTCCTCATGGACTTTGCTTGTCAGAAGGTCGCAAAAAGGGATCACGTGACCCCCCCGGGACACTGCGACCGTCATAAATATGAATCGGTTGCCAAGCATCTGAATTTTGATCACACGTGACCTCAACGGTCATAAGCGTGAAAAACAATCACAAGTCACTTTTTTTGCAATGCCGTGGTAACTTTGAACAGTCACTAAATGAACTGTTGTAAGTCGAGGACTATCTGTACTGCAATAGTGCTTTTACAGCTCTCTCTGGGCGGTTTATACTGTCAGCATCTTCCCCCCCACAATCTGGGTCCTCATTTTACTGACCTCGGAAGAGCGGAAGGCTGAGTCAACCTTGAGCCCCGTCAGGATTGAACTCCAGGCTGCGGGCAGAGTTTGCCTGCAATACTGCCTTCTAACCAGGCCTCCCGGGCTCTTCCTGAATTCATCCACCCCACCGCCCTTCCTGCTGGCAGATTCGGTTGTCCTTGAGGTCCGGTACCTTGTACAGTCGGTCTTTTTTGCAGAGTTCCACGCTTTGCTTCCAGCGGTTGTTCCCTTTGAAGAGATAGGCGGCGATTCTCCTGAATTCAATCAGTTCATGTTTCTCCAGGCGCTGGGCGAGGGAGATGTTGTCGAAGTTGTCGTAGGCGTCTATCGATGTCCGAAGAGCCTGGACAAGACACAAACCTGAAGCTTTGAAAATGGCACCCCTACAAAGTCTGAATGTGGGGAGGTCGCCAACCTGCACCCCACCTTCCCAAGCTGCCAGGGGTTTCCACCCGAAGTCCAGGATGGGCCCCAGAAATCGTCTCTACCTGGTAATCTTCTTCTATAATGAAGAGGTTGTTGAGGGACTCGTTCACTGATTTGTTATTGTGGTTCTGCACGGAGCGCAGGTAGGGCTTCACCAGCGGAAGTTGCTTCACCTGTTCAGAGAACACATCTTCAGGGTTAAAGCATCAGGCTAAAATCCAGGGGAAGGTGAGTTCTAGTCCTGCCTTAGGTACAAAAGACGGCTGGGTGACCTTGGGGCAATCACCAGGAGACAGTGAGTTCTAGTCCCGCCTTAGGCACGAAAGCCGGCTGGATGGCCTTGGGCCAATCACCAGGAGACTGTGAGTTCTAGTCTCGCTTTAGGCACGAAAGCCAGCTGGGTGACTTTGGGCCAATCACCAGGAGCTGTGAGTTCTAGTGCTGCCTTAGACATGAAAGCCACTAGGTGACTTTGGGCCAATCACCAGGGGACTGTGAGCTCTAGTGCTGCCTTAGGTATGAAAGCCAGCTGGGTGACTTTGGGCCAATCACCAGGAGACAGTGAGTTCTAGTGCTGCCTTAGACTTGAAAGCCACTGAGTGACTTTGGGCCAGTCACCAGGAGCTATGAGTTCTAGTGCTACCTTAGGCACAAAAGCCGGCTGGGTGGCCTTGGGCCAATCACCAGGAGACAGTGAGTTGTAGTCTCGACTTAGGCACAAAAGCTGGTTGGGTGACTTTGGGCCAATCACCAGGAGACTGAGTTCTAGTCTTGCTTTAGGCACAAAAGCCAGCTGGGTGACTTTGGGCCAATCACCAGGAGCTGTGAGTTCTAGTGCTGCCTTAGGTATGAAAGCCAGCTGGGTGACTTTGGGCCAATCACCAGGAGACAGTGAGTTCTAGTCTCATCTTAGGCCCGAAAGCTAGCTGGGTGACTTTGGGCCAATCACCAGGGGACTGTGAGTTCTAGTGCTGCCTTAGACATGAAAGCCACTGGGTGACTTTGGGCCAGTCACTAGGAGCTGTGAGTTCTAATGCTGCCTTAGACATGAAAGCCACTGGGTGACTTTGGGCCAGTCACCAGGAGCTGTGAGTTCTAGTGCTGCCTTAGACATGAAAGCCACTGGGTGACTTTGGGCCAGTCACTAGGAGCTGTGAGTTCTAGTGCTGCCTTAGACATGAAAGCCACTGGGTGACTTTGGGCCAGTCACTAGGAGCTGTGAGTTCTAATGCTGCCTTAGACATGAAAGCCACTGGGTGACTTTGGGCCAGTCACCAGGAGCTGTGAGTTCTAGTGCTGCCTTAGATATGAAAGCCAGCTGGGTGACTTTGGGCCAGTCACTCTCTCTCAGCCTAACCCACCTCACCGGGTTGCTGTTGTGGGGAAAATAGAGAGGAGGAGGAGGAGGATAGTGTGTGTGTTTGCCAGCTTAAGGTATTTATAAAAATAATAAAGGAGGGATATAAATAAATAAATAAACAAACAAATAAAAACTTCCTGAGAGGAAGGAAGGAAGGAAGGAAGGAAGGAAGGAAGGAAGGAAGACAGACAGACAGAAAGAAAGAAAGAAAGAAAGAAAGAAAGAAAGAAAGAAAGAAAGAAAGAAAGAAAGAGAAAGAAAGAAAGAAAGAAAGAAAGAAAGAAAGAAAGAAAGAAAGAAAGAAAGAAAGAAAGAAAGAAAGAATTCCGCTTTTGAAAGGCTTTCTTACCTTACTAAAGAAATTGACTGCACGGGTATGATCCAGTCGCGGCGAAAGCACCATCAGTAAGTCGTTGAGCAGCAGAGGTTTAAATTCTAGGTAAAACTGAATTGCTTTGTAATAAAGCTCCACGTTCGCCACCTGCGAGGAGGACAGGGAAGTGAGTGTCACTTGTGAACGTTTGCAAAAACAAGGGCAACCTCCGGCTGAGGGCGAGGCGAGTAACACAACCCCCTCCAGCCGAACTGACTCTTCACCTAAGCCTTGAAATGGACTAGCGTCCCCAAAGGGCTGCATTTTCGCACCGCTGGCTGCAACTGGTTTTAAAACAGCGGAGTTCAGACTGTATATCAGGGGTCTTCAAACTGGGCCCTTTGATGACTCGTGGACTTCAACTCCCAGAATTCCTCAGCCAGGCACGGTGTGCCTGGCTGAGGAATTCTGGGAGTTGAAGTCCACGAGTCATCAAAGGGCCCAGTTTGAAGACCCCTGCTGTGTATGGTTTGGATTTGTATTCAATGGCCTTCCCCATTTTGCTGAGCTCATTACAGGTTGCCCGGATAACAATGGGAGATAAAAGAGAAAATTCTCTGCACGTGCTCTAAGGACTTCGGGGTTGGCTGGATTCCTTGCTTTTAATATCCACTGGACTGGATTGGGATATCTGGGACGGTGTTTCTCAACTGTGGCAACTCTGAGACCTCATGAATGAAGGCGAATCTACGTGTCCCAGGAGAATGTTGCAGGATCCAATCTGGGTCGGTTACTCTTCCGAGCTTTTGGACTTGTATTGGAGGGAATTTCTCATCAGAATGTGTCCCCTTTGGGTTATTCTACACCTAGTCCTGCAACTTTAAGACCTATGGACTTCAATTCTCAGAATTCCCCAGCCAGCAAGGGAGGCCTTCGCAAGATCACCCTTCAGAAGACTCTGGATATAAAGTGTGGGGGGTCTGAACGTATTTCCCACCAAGTAATAATAATAATAATAATAATAAAGTTGGAAGGGACCTTAGAGGTCATCTGGTCCAACCCCCTGCTCAGGCAGGAAACTCTATACCATTTCAGACAAATGGCTGTCCAATCTCTTCTTAAAAACTTCCAGTGTTGGAGCATTCACCACCTCTGGAGGCAGGTTGTTCCACTGGTTAATTGTTCTAACTGTCAGGAAGTTTCTCCTTAGTTCTAGGTTGCTTCTCTCCTTGATTAGTTTCCATCCGTTGTTTCTTGTCCTGCCTTCAGGTGCTTTGGAGAATAGCTTGACTCCCTCTTCTTTGTGGCAGCCCCTGAGATATTGGAACACTGTTATCATGTCCCCCCTCGTCCTTCTCTTCATTAGACTAGACATACCCAATTCCAGCAACCGTTCCTTATATGTTTTAGCCTCCAGTCCCCTAATCATCTTTGTTGCTCTTCTCTGTACTCTTTCTAGAGTCTCAACATCTTTTTTACATAGTGGTGACCAAAACTGGATGCCATATTCCAAGTGTGGCCTTACCAAGGCATTGTAAAGTGGTATTAATACTTCACGTGATCTTGATTCTATCCCTCTGTTAATGCAGCCTAACACTGTGTTGGCCTTTTGGGCAGCTGCAGCACACCAGAAAGGAAACATACTAAAGACATTACGTCGAGAAAGATCTCCTACCTTAGTGATGATGTCCTTGAACTGCCCTTCCTTCCAGGCATCTGTAGGATGGTTCATCATTGTAATAATAGCATTATCGTATTCTTCATATTTATCGTACAGGAAAACCAATTCTCCCCAGAGGTGGGCTTGCTCAGCAGCTCTCAAAACCTATGAGGAACAAAGCATTTTGTAAATGGAAGCACGAGAAGGCCTCTCTAGCCCAACTAGTCTAGCACGAGCTTCCAACGTTAATCAGTCAAACATCTTCCAGGATCTTTTCCTGGGGTGTCTCAACATAATCAATCCAAAGGGGATCCTGTGGATTTTAATTTTGCAGCCAGGCGGGCCAATCAAGAGATTACCAGCAATGCTATGATGACCAATGAAAAGAAACACAAGGCCCGGGGGCTGGATGCGGCCCGCGAAGTGGTTTCATGTGGCCCACGAAGCCATCCTGGAAATAGTGAGGGAACGGCCCCCTCTGCCTTGGCCCTGGCCAAGGCCGGCCGGGAGCCAATGTACAATTTTGTGGTGGCCATCTATGCTGAAACGCATTCAGTCTTAGCTCCACAAGGCCGTCTGGAAACAGCGAGGAACCAGCCCCTGCCGTGTCGGCCCCAACCCCTGGGTGCATGCTGGGGAGGTGTCACCCTTTGGGAGGAATGAAGAAATGGACCATGCCTTGGCACTTGCCCCGGTCCCACCCCCTTCTGCCAGAGACCCTCAGATCTGTCCCACTCCTGCCCAGGCCCCCACAGGCACCCTTGGCGCGAACGATGTAGAGCTGGCCATGCCCACCCAGTAGGCCACACCCACTCCTTCCACGCCCACCCAGTAGGCCGCACCCACCCTGGTCACACACACCTCAAGGGCAACCACAATGCTGATGCGGCCCTCAATGAAATTGAGTTTGATACCCCTGCCCTACACCAATCTCCTCTTAATGTTAATGCTGTCTTCTTAACCTTCTTCTTAATCCCCAGAGCACTTTTTAATGTACCTGAGCATGGATACCTGGCCTTCCAATTGTTGTCAAAATGAAACGGCCAGGTTCCTTCGGGCTGTCCTTGGCGTGTCAAATCCCTAAGTAATTTTTGTCATCCTCTGCAATAAGTGAGGGTCCCTCACAAAGTCTGCACCAGCAGGTTCTCTTCCCAGCACTGTTAACCACAGCTCCTCGAGACCGTTTTGTGTTTTCTGTCCACACCACTTATCCACTTTAGCCGGTTCCTTCATGCAGCCCCTCTAAAGGGGAGCAGGTGGCTCTGAATTCTATCCTCCTCAAACCAAGCGCCAATCGGAAAAAAGTTACCTTAGGAATGTTGACCCGTGACCAAAACAGCTCCAAGTGCTCCCTCATCTTCTGTGGCTTGAATTTGGAATAGAGGATGGCCAGTTCGGTGAACATCCCCATATGGGCCCGTTCCAGCCCCAGAGCAGCTTCCAACATGGTTATCAACTCCTCAAAGTAGCCGCGGTCCTTTTAGGCGGAAAAAAAAAAGTAAAGGGTAGGGAGATATCAGTCAAGATCCTCCAACAGCCAGGTGTCAATATCCCACTCTCAAGAATCCAAATAAAATTCCAGCAATCATTCCATTTCCAAAAGTCTTAACTGTTTATTGAATACACTGCATGGTTTTGTCAAAGAAAAACTAATTCTGAGGTTCCAACACCAATCCATAGACTTAAACAATAGTTAATAATAATAATAGTAATAGTAAAGTTGGAAGGGACCTTGGAGGTCATCTAGTCCAACCCCCTGCTCAGGCAGGAAACCCTATTCATTTCAGATAAATGGCTGTCCAGTCTCTTCTTAAAAACCTCCAGTGTTGGAGCATTCACCGCTTCTGGAGGCAGGTTGTTCCATTGGTTAATTGTTCTAACTGTCAGGAAGTTTCTCCTTAGTTCTAGGTTGCTTCTCTCCTTGATTAGTTTCCTTCCGTTGCTTCTTGTCCTGCCTTCAGGCACCTTGGAAAATAGCTTGACTCCCTCTTCTTTGGGGCAGCCCCTGAGATACTGGAAGACTGCTATCGTGTCCCCCCTCGTCCTTCTCTTCATTAAACTAGACATACCCAATTCCAGCAGCCGTTCCTTATGTTTTAGCCTCCAGTCCCCTAATCATCTTTATTGCTCTTCTCTGTACTCTTTCTAGAGTCTCAACATCTTTTTTACATCACAGTGACCAAAACTGGATGCAGTATTCCAAGTGTGGCCTTACCAAGGCATTGTAAAAGTTTTCCTAGCCAAACCCCCAACATCTTATGTAATTCATATCCATCAGTTCAGTTTGTTATGTGAACCTCTGATTCAAATCCACACCTGTTTTGGTGTCCTTGACAAGGCTTCAGGCTCTGTGGCTGAATCTAAGAGGTTTTGTTTCTCCATTTAACCCACTTGAAAGGAACATCTCCCCCCTCCCCACTTAATCTAAAGGCAAGATGAAATGCAGAGGTAATTAGCTGCCAAAGTTTTATCCCCGATACAGGGATTTTTACCACTTTCCTTGTAAAGGAGGAAAACAGCAACCAACACATGGCTCATTACCTGGTAGTAATTAATGAGCTCCTCCAGTTCATCGGCATGCACAACGATATGCAAACCACACATCTGGGCCAAGCGGAATTCCTTCCCATCAACGCAGGCAAAGCAAACCTGAAAAGGCAAGAGGGTTGAGGTTTTGTTTAGGAAAAGGGGAAAAACAACAAGGCACACCGTCTCCCAAATTCTGTCATATGCTAGCTGGAAATTTGAGGAGCTGCAGCTGAAATGGGAGGAGGGGGAGGGAGAGAGAGAACACAGAATCATGGGGCTGGAAGGGACTCAAAGACCTTCTAGCCCAGCCCCCTGCTCAAGTAGGAGACCTTATACCAGTGATAGCGAACCTTTTAGAGACTGAGTATCCAAATTGCAACCCAAAACCCACTTATGCATCGTCGAGTGCCGGGTGGGTGTGGCCCATTGGGTGGGTGTGGCCTATTGGGTGGGCGTGGCTGCGGTGGTAACGGCAGACTCGGCGGGACTAAAAAGTTCAATCAATCAATTTCAACTTTGCAAGATCTTGTTTTTTTCCCGGAAGAAGTTGAAATTGACTGATTGAACCTTTTTTTTTTTTTTTTGCACATGGCGATGGAGGCCTAAAGCGAAAAGGTTTTATAAAACCCAGCTGAAGGCCTAGGACTGGGACGATGGCGCGCGTGTGCCCACAGAGAGGGCTCTGAGTGCTGCCTCTGGCACCCGTGCCATAGGTTCGCCACCACTGCCTTATACCATCCTGGTCAAATGGTTGTTCAATCTATTTTTGAAAGCCTCCAGTGATGGAGCACCCATAACTCTGGGAGGCAAGCTATTCCATTGATTAATTGTTCTCACTATCAGTAAATGTTTATTTCTAGTTTTGATCTTTCTTTAACAAGCTTCACCCATTACTTCTTGTTCTGCCCTCAGGTGCTTTGGAGAATAGATCAATCCCCTCTTCTCTGACGCAGCCCCTTAAGTACCAAAAGGCAGCTACCATGTCCCTCCCCCCTTAACCTTCTCTTTGATAGGCTAGGACCAGGTATACCTAGTTCCCACAACCATTCATCATACGATTTAGCCCCAGCGCCCTTGTCGTCTTTGTTGCTGAGAGTTCTAGTCTCACTTTGGTCATGAAGAAAGCCGGTTGGATGACTTTGGGCCAATCACACTCTCCCCGCCCAACCCACCCTACCGGGTTGTTGTGGGGAAAATCGGAGGAGGAAGGCGAGTTGGATACGTTTGCTGCCTCAACTTATTTGTAAAAATAATAAAGGCGGGAGAATGAATGAATGAATGAATGAATGAATGAATGAATGAATGAATGAATGGATGGATGGATGGATGGATGAATGCAGAGGTATCACTTCTGATCAGATATTTTGCTTCCCTGTCGAGACCCTCAACATCTTGCAGGGTGAAACCTGAAATTTACGGAGAAGCCGCTGGAAGCCTGGAACTTACCTCCTTCCAAGTTCTTGTGCTGTTTGCCTTCCGGGCCCCGTCAACCGCTGCCTGGTATTCACCCAAATGAACCAAGGTGGAGGCCAAGCGGCCAAAATTGGAGACGTTGTTGTAGAGAAGTTTGGCCGCGTCGTACATCTTCTCCTCATAGCAACGATCACCAACCTACGGAAGCAAGAAGACATGGGTGGGTCTGCTGTTCATTGGTAAAAGGAATGGTTGGAGTCCCCCCCTGCCTAGCTATGCCAGGGCTGACCACCAAGCATGTGAACAGACTGAAAAACAACGGTTATATCATCCTGAAGGTAATGACTAGAAGTGGTTCTAATCCATCTTCAGCTGCAAAAGTGAGGCTGGATGAGGTTGGACCACTATTTAGTTTACAAGATGGATACCACAGGAAAAATTAAGTGTGCCACTTCAAACTCCTGAATGAAACGTGGGATATAAATATATAAAACATCTTCTCCAATTATGGAGATCTCTAATAAGTCAGCCCACATAGCACATTCTAATGGTTTGATGTTCTCTTCCACCTTCAACCATAGAAGATCACTGCTTTAAGTGTTCAAGTCTCTGTTTCTCAACCTTAGCAACTTCAAGACGTGTGTGGATTTCAACTCCCAGAATTCCCCAGCCAGCCATGCTGGCTGGGGAATTCTGGGAATTGAGGTCCACAGGCCTTAAAAGGTGCTAGGGTTGAAAAACGCTGCTTTAAGGCATCCACTTTCGCCAAGACATTCACTAAGGGAAAAATGCTATAGAGGTAGCCTTGACTTAACGACAGCGATTGAGCCCAACATTTCTGTTGCTAAGCAAAAGAGTTGTTAAGTGAGTTTTGCCCCATTTTACAACCTTTCTTGCCACGGTTGTTAAACAAATCGCTGCAGTCGTTACATTAGTCACACAGTTGTTAAGTGAATCTGGCTTCCCCATTGACTTTGCATGTCAGAAGGTCGCAAAAGGGGATCACAGGACCCCCGGGGACACTGCAGCCGTCATAAATACATACAAGTTGCTAAATCTCTGGCTTCTGATCACGTGACCACCAGGATGCTCCAATGGTTGTGTGAAAAACGGTCGTAAGTCCCTTTTTTCAGTGCCATTGTAACTTCAATCGGTCACTAAACCAATAGTTGTTAAGTCGAGGACTACCTGTATCTACCTACTTCCAATTTGTTCTTTCAGAGTTTGGCCTGACTCCAAGCATCCAGCAATGCCTACAAAATCTCACTCCTCTGGACTACATCTCCTCATCTGTGCTCAGACCATCAGTTATCTAGGTCCCCACTTCAGATCCTCCTCAAAATCTCAATCTACCTTAATCTCATTGTCCCAAATCATCCCTGTGTGTTACAGCTGCAGCCAACACATCAAGTCTAAAGATTCAGTTGTCTCCTGTTTGTTCTGCGCTTCCCACGAGGAGATCAGAGCAGCGACTGCAGCCCGACTCCCTCCTCACTTTATTTTTTCTTACAACCACCTTGGAAGGTGGGAGAAGAACCCATGACTAGCTCAAGAGCTGTCAAAGCGCATCGGGGCAGGGTGATGATTCGAACCAGCTTCTTCCCAATGCCGGTTCCTTCGCCTTCCTTCACCCCACCGGGAGGGCTCCCAAAATCCTGCCTAAGAGTCTCCATCACATTAACAACCAGCAGATAAGTGGGTGGGGGGGGGAAGGATATGCTACATTTGGGTGGCAATTCTTACAAAAGCTACCCAGAGTCGCCTTGTAGGGAAGATGGATGACATAAAAAAATTAATAAATAATAAATAAATGAAATGTGGGGGGGGGAGAGAACTACCGACCTTCCCAACGACTGCAGAGACGGAAGGCAGAAGTCTAATCCGAGGATTAGGAAAAACCCTCGACCTGCAGATTAAAAACCCAGGATGGAAGCACTCACTTGCTGGATGTGAGCGTTGTTGGGCCCGTTGATGAATTCTTCCAGTTCAGCCAGGCGGTTCGTTTTGGCCAGAGCAAAAATAAGCTCCGTCTCCACGTAGGATTCCCTGGCCTTTCGGCGAGCCATCTGCAAGTACTTCACCAGCTCTTCCCAGTTGCCTAGGTGGGGGACAAAAAAAGAGAGAGGTCACATCGCAAGAACCATTTGCGGGGCCGTTCAGTCCTTATCCTTTGAAAAGGAGGCAGGAGCGAAGGATGTAACGGTCATGGCGATGCCAGCCTCCACGGGGCAGGCTCACCCGGTGACAAATGTCCCTTTAAAATCAGGAATGGGAAGTGGGGGGGGGGAAGGAAAGAGAGAGAGAGAGAGGCATCCCAGCATGTGCAGCCCTGGCGAAATCGAAAAAGACTGAGGCATCAGTGTGCCGATTAATTTCTACTTTAAGATCGGGCTGTGTGCGGAATTTTATTAGAGCCAAACAGTTGCTCATTCTTGCAGAGTGGAACACAAGCTTCCCAAAACTGGGAGGACGCAGGAGGGGGGGGGAGTAGAAAAAAAAAATCAGGTCAGCCAAACAATCCACTTCTTTGTCATCCGCCCGTTATACTGGGCATGTCTGTTCACACATCTGTTGCTGAATAAATGTAGTTCACAAGTACACGGGCTCTTTTCCCATAGGCGAGGTGAGCATAGTAGGTGTGCAGAGAAAGGGATCTGAAGAGAGACCCGTGTTGAAAGGGGAAGATGACACTGGAATTGCATGTGCTCGGGGAAGGAGACAGGAAGAGGGACAGCCAACGTCATGAGTTAGAAGCTTTCTCTGGTTTCGGCGGCTTTTGCCCTTTTTATAATCAACCCAGAGAAAATAAAAAAAGAAGGAAATATCTGGTAGAGAGAAGAGCCAGTGGGACCCCAAGGAATCCGATGGGTCCTTGGTTCTCTCTGAGCTTGTTTTCTTGCAGACATCTCATTACCCTACTAGGTAACATCATCAATGCAAGAAGGCAGCGGGGTTCGCTCTTTATTTATTTACTAGTGGCTTGCCCTGTCAGCACTGGTAGGAGTCTTCTTGGATTAACCTTATTAAGAGCATGAAAAAGGTTTTTGAACAGTGGTGGCGAACCTATGGCATGCGTGCCAGAGGTGGCACTCAGAGCCCTCTCTGTGGGCATGTGCGCCATGCCCCGGAGATGGCAACCGTCCCTCTTCAACCAGCTGCCTGCTAATTCGCTGAGGTCCCACGTGGCCGGATGTAGCCCAGTACCCATGCGCTCGCTGGCCTCTGTGTGCAGGGGTTGATGGTGTCAGGCAGCAGCCGCCCCGGCCCCTGCCTCACCTTGCCCTGTGACATGGCACCCCTGCCCTGCCTCGCCTCACCCTGCAGAACCAGCCTCCTGCCCATCGCCCCACCCGCCAGAGACCCCTGGATCTCCCCTAACCCTCCCCAGCCCCCACAGGCGTCCCTCCCCACGAGCAACATTGAGATGAGTACGCCCACCTTGGCCACACCCACCCAATCTGCCATGACCACCACAGCTACGCCCACCCAGTGGGCCACGCCCACCTGGCACCTGGCAATAAATAAGTGGGTTTTGGGTTGCAGTTTGGGCACTCGGTCTCTAAAAGGTTCGCCATCACTGTTCTAGAAGGCAGTACAGATAGTCCTCGACTTACAACAGTTATGACCATTTTTCACACTTACAACAGTTGCAGCATCCTCTGTGGTCACGTGATCAACATTCAGACACTTGGCAACTGGCTCATATTTATGACGGTTGCAGTAGCCTGGGGTCCTGTGATCCCCTTTTGTGACTTTCTGACACGCAAAGTCAATGGGAAAGCCAGATTCACTTAACAACTGTGTTACTAACTTAACGACTGCAGCGATTCGCTGCAGAAAGGTCATAAAATGGACAAGAAAAGAAATGGGACAAAATTCACTTAACCCATGTCTCACTTAGCAACAGAAATGTTGGGCTCAATTGTGGGGGTAAGTCAAGGACTACCTGTATATATTCAATATTAAGCTCAAATCAAGGACGCGGGGGCATAACCTCAACTGGCCAGGAGGGAAGTTCAAAAGTCATGTCAGAAAGGATGACCTCACAGACAGAGGAGTGGAAGCTTGGAATCAACTTCCAGCAGAGATAAGAGGGTCAGTTCTCAGTAACTGAGCTGAAACATGCTTGGGATAAGCACATGTCCATCATCCGACAAAATTTCAAAAATAAAACAAAAGCAAGAGCATACAAATATTTCAAAAATAATAAATGAAGACCCTAATGAAGAGAAGGACGAGGGGGGACATGATGTTCCAGTATCTCAGGGGCTGCCCCAAAGAAGAGGGAGTCAAGCTATTCTCCAAAGCGCCTGAAGGCAGGACAAGAAGCAACAGATGGAAACTGATCAAGGAGAGAAGCAGCCTAGAACTGAGGAGAACAATTAACCAGTGGAACAACCTGCCTCCAGAAGTGGTGAATGCTCCAACACTGGAAGTTTTTAAGAAGAGACTGGACAGCCATTTGTCTGAAATGGTGTAGGGTTCCCTGCCTGAGCAGGGGGTTGGACTAGATGACCTCCAAGGTCCCTTCCAACTCTTCTATTCTATTCTACTCTATATTTTATTCTATTCTATTCTATTCATATTATTTCATTCTATTCTATTCTATTCTATTCTATTCATATTATTTCATTCTATTCTGTTGTTCTGTTCTGTTCTGTTCTACTCTACTCTACTGGGTTTCCTGCCTGAGCAGGGGATTGGACTAGATGACCTCCAAGGTCCCTTCCAACTTTATTATTATTGTTGTTGTTATTACTACTACATTATTATTATTATTGTTGTTGTTGTTGTTGTTGTTATTATTATTAAATACATAAATTAAAAAGAAAAGAAAAGAAAAAAACCCCTCAAAGGGCAGACTTGATAGACCACTGGGTCTTTTTGTGCCATGAGTTTTCTATGTTTCTATACATTAGTGGCTTGACCTGTCAAGTGTTGGTGGGAATGTTCTTGAATTGAGTTGTGGTTTACTGTTGGTCTGTTTGATAATGAAAGGTCTGAAAATAAACCCACCAAGCTCAGAGAGCACCAAGTACCCCACAGGTTCAACCCTGAGCTACCAATATTCTCTTCTATTGAGACTCTAGCGAGTCTACAGAGTCAATTTCTAGCTCAGCCTTTCCAGCCTGCTGACTGAGATTCCAGTTTTTGTAAACAACAGATTGGAAAAGTTTTTTACTCTCCACGGGAAACACTTCTTTGTTTCCATCTAGTCCAGGGGTAGGCAACCTTGGCTCTTTTATGACATGTGGACTTCAACTCCCAGAATTCCTGCACCACCATGGCTCAGCATGGAAACCTCTCCCTTTCTCCTCAGCATGGCTGGCTCAGGAATTCTGGGAGTTGAAGTCCACGAGTCATAAAAGAGCCAAGGTTGCCTACCCCTGACTTAGAGCCACGGGAGGCGTATTTTGTGTTCTCACGAAGGCTACTTAATGGGGAGCAGGGGTGAGGAAGAAAAACAGTGCCAATTCCCTACCGCTTGTGTTGGCAGCTTGGACAACCTCCATGTAGGACGATGGATCGTCTGCTTTGATGTAGGAGTCGATGGCTTCCTTCACCATCCCTTTCTGGAGTTGAGCTTTGGCAAGCTGGCTCCACACGGCAGGCTCATTGCAACGCTCGGCAAACTCATAGGCTCGGTCCAGGTTCCCAATGTGCTCGATCAAAACCTAGGAAAAGAGAGCAATAACTTTCCACAAGAGCCTTGCAAAGGTGGACTCAGTTACAGTTAGGAAAACCTCTTGTGGTGCAAGGTAGCAATGATCAGAAAATCCAAAGAGCAAGAGAAGACTTGATTTTTAAGAAATAAAAAAAAACCCCGACATCGGTGGTTCTCGACCCGTGGTCTGCAAACCCCTGGGGGGGCCACATTGTTATCATACGGGGTCCGAGAAAGGCTTGACAAAATGTTATGATTTAAATCTTGAGTTTCGGGGGGGTCGGTGGCTATGGTCCGTAGTCACAACAGGTATTTAAAAGGGGTCCATTTTGAAGAAAAGGTTGAGACCCATTGAACTACATCATTAGCCAGACAGATGGAAGTTTAAACAAAGACATTCGGAACTGAGTCCGCTTAACATACGTGGGTGAAAGGGTGCAAACAAATTCCAGCCCCATCTCCAAGATCACCGCAGATGGGGACTGCAGCCAAGAAATTAAAAGACGCTTGCTCCTGAGGAGGAAAGCTATGGCAAATCTAAACAGCATACTAAAAAGCAGAGACATCACCCTGCCATCAAAAGTGCGTATAGTCAAGGCCATGGTTTTCCCAGTTGCAATGTATGGCTGTGAAAGCTGGACCATAAGAAAGGCTGAGCGCCAAAGAATGGAGGCCTTTGAACTCTGGTGCTGGAGAAGACTCCTGCGAGTCCCCTGGACTGCAAGGCAATCCAACCGGTCAGTCCTAGAGGAGATCAACCCCGACTGCTCTTTAGAAGGCCAGATCCTGAAGTTGAAACTCAAGTACTTTGGCCACCTAATGAGAAGGAAGGACTCACTGGGGAAGAGCCTAATGCTGGGAAAGATCGAGGGCAACAGAAGAAGGGGACGACAGAGAATGAGGGGGCTGGATGGAGTCACTGAAGCAGGAGGCGTGAGCTTAAATGGACTTCAGAAGATGGTAGAGGACAGGAAGGCCCGGAGGAACGTTGTCCATAGGGTTGCGATGGGTCGGACACGACTTCGGAACTAACAAACTGAGTACAGTATTCTACTAAGTACCAAAGATTTTTTTTTTTCAAAAGGCAATTGGACTTTGTTTTTTTCATTGAAGATGTTTCGCTTCTAGTCCAAGAAGCTTCTTCAGTTCTGACTGAATGGTGGAGGATAGAAGGATTTATATTCTTTGCAGCCATCTGGTTGTTAGCACTCTTTCAGAGAGTCGTTAAGGCCACTTGGAGATTTATCTGTGCCCTCACGATCACCTGAACATTGCAAATAGGTATGGAGCCTTCTTGGAACTGCTGAAAGGACTGTTGTAAACAAGAGATAGGTGGTATCCTCCCCCTCTGTTGAGAGGACTGTTCAATCTTAATATAAATAGCCTTTTTGACCCCTCTTTCAAACCAGCGGTCCTCTCTGTGCAAAATATGTACTTTGTGGATGCTTCCATCCTCCACATTCAGTCAGGACTGAAGAAGCTTCTTGGATGAGATGCGAAACGTCTCCAAGGAGAAAACAAAGTCCAGTTGCCTTTTGAAAAAGCACCTTTGGGACAACCATGGATGACTGGATGACTGAAAATCTTCACAGACTGAGCAGAGTAGTGCACTGATGAAGTTCCCTAGTTTGGTGATGAAATATCTGCAAGAAAACTACCAAGCCCACAGAGCACCAAGGACCCCCACCCCCCCCCCAAAAAAGTGTGTATTATAAATGCTAACTTTAGCAAAGACCGGATGGGTTTTATCTAGCGGCGCACCAGGAGATGGAACTCAAGATCAAAGACAAAAGCAACTTTCGGCCATCATTGGCACATCAAATTCGGCTGGGAAGGGCCGAAGTTACCTGGATGGCAGAAGTGTTGACGTCAAATTTCCGAAAGATGGCAAAGGCTTCTTCGAAAAGTTCGTTGCTGATGGCAATGTTGGCGATGTCAGGGGCATCGTAGTTATCCAGGCGATTGATGTATTCCATGACCCGGGTGCGGTCAGCCTTGATTGCTGTCAAAATGAGGAGATTCTGGAGATTCCTAAAAAAATAAAATGCAAATGGATCATCATCATAAGCTGGAGACTTATCGGACTTCAACAGATAAATTTAAGACTCACATGGACTTCAATTCCCAGAATTCCCCAGCTAGCATTGCTAGTTGGGGAATTCTGGGATTGAAGTCTATACGTCTTAAAGTTGCCAAGATTTGGAAACACTAACTTAGACACCACAAGCCTTAGCTGTCTACTTTTAAGATTCTGAACAATGAAAAGAGTCATTTGTCCAGATATTATGGGAAAGGGGAGAAGATCAAATGACCCATCATGAAGGGAAGGCAGGGTATGTTATGGGTCCAATTGATTAGGGATGGACATCTTGCGGGCCCAGGAAAAAGGGCCTTCTCTGTGGTGGCCCCCCCTCTATGAAACATCATTCTCCCCCTGGTACAATTGGCCCCCACTTTATTGCTTTTCTGAAAGGCCCTAACGATGTGGTTCTGTCACCGGGCCTGGGGACCCCAAATGGAGATGGAGCCAATCAAATGATTGGTTTGATTGTATTGCTGCTACCGTGGGGATGAGTGGTGGGGCTTATGGGTTTTTATATTATGATTTTTCATGTTGGAAGCCGCCGGGAGTTACCTCTGTGTAAGCTGGGCAGCCATTAATTTGTTAAATAGGTAGGTAGGCGGGTAGATGATTGATAGAAACATAGCTAGATAGCTAGATAGATAAATGGATAGATGGATGGGGAGAGGGGACGAGAGGGGGGAGAGGGGAGAGAGGGGGAGGGAGAGGAGAGTGAGAGGGGGAGAGGGGGAAGAGAGAGAGGGAAAAAGAGAGGGAGAGGGGGGGAGAAAGAGAGGGGGGAGACTGGGAGACGGGGAGAGAGAGAGAGAGAGAGAGAGAGAGAGAGAGAGAGAGAGAGAGAGAGAGAGAGAGAGAGAGAGAGAGAGAGAGAATAGAAAGAAAGAAAGAAAGAAAGAAAGAAAGAAAGAAAGAAAGAAAGAAAGAAAGAAAGAAAGAAAGAAAGAAAGAAAAAAGGAAGGAAGGAAGGAAGGAAGGAAGGAAGGAAGGAAGGAAAGAAAGGGGCAGACAAAGTACTAACCTGTGCTCACTGAACACAGAATTATCCAGGACAATTTTCTCCAACAGCTCAATAAGTTCATTCGGGAGGTCAGCGGTCATGAAAGCCTTGACGGTAACAGAGACCTCTTCGGGATCCTGAGTCTCGGAGAGCGCTGTCTGCACAACCTAGCAACCAAATTGGGTGCAACAAGTCAACTGAGCATGGCTTTTTTCAAACTCATCCCACAACACGCAAGCAAACACACAGAGGCCTCAGAGAGCCCACCTGGTCAATGAGAGGCCGCCGGTAAGGGTTGCTTTCTAGCAGCACGCTGGCCCACAGTTCCGGATCCTTACGGCGCACCAAGTAACGGGAGAGGCTCTTGAAGAGGGAATTCTCATTGCATACCTGGAGGACAAAAGGGGTTGACACAGTGAGGACGAGTGGAAGAGAGTATTTATACTTCAGGGTTGAATTCTGGGGTCCTTGATGCTCTCTGGGCTTGGCTGTTTTCTTACAGCTACTGTATTTCATTACCAAGCTAGGTAGCGCCAGCAGCACCTAACATTGATGATGTCACCTAGTTTGGTAGTGAAACATTTGCAAGAAAACCACCCAGATCGGAGAGAACCAAAGACCCCAAAGTTTCATGACGTGGTTTCTGAAGCCTGAAAAAAAAAAAAGGGGGGGGGATAAATAAATATGCTGGACCCTTGAGCTAGCTTGGAACAGGCTTTTCCTGCAGAGGTCTGAACAAGTCAGACTCGATTCCCACAAAAGTACAAACCAGGATAGCCATGACTTCGCTTCTCATGAGCCATCAAGCTTAAAAGGCCACAAAGAATGTTAAAAATGGTCTTTGCAGTTTGTGAACTCTCAAGCTTCCTCCTTCCGTTATATATTCAAGATGGTCAGGGTTTAATATTTATACCTTACAGCAGTGATGGCAAACCTTTTAGAGACCGAGTGCCCAAACTGCAACCCAAAACCCACTTATGCATCGTCGGGTGCCGGGTGGGCGTAGCCCATTGGGTGGGTGTGGCTGCGGTGGTAACAGCAGACTGGGTGGGACTAAAAAGTTCAATCAATCAATTCCAACTTTGCAAGATCTTTTTTTTTCCCGCGAGAAGTTGAAATTGACTGATTGATTGAACCTTTTTTTTTGCACATGGTGGCAGAGGTCTAAAGCAAAAAGGTTTTATAAAACCCAGCTGAAGGCCTAGGACTGGAGCGACGGCATGCGTGCCCAGAGAGAGGGCTCTGCGTGCCACCTCTGGCACCCGTGCCACAGGTTCACCACCACTGCCTTACAGTATGTATATGTAGAGGTGTGGGTCTATACCAGGGGTAGGCAACCTTGGCTCTTTTATGACTGGTGGACTTCAACTCCCAGAATTCCTGAGCCAGCATGGCTCAGCTTAGAAATCTCTCCATTTCTCCTCAGCATGGCTGGCTCAGGAATTCTGGGAGTTGAAGTCCACGAGTCATAAAAGGTTGCCTACCCCTGGTCTATACATATGTTGTATATAGTATGTTTAGGTGTGTGTCATGTTTGTGTTCACTTTGAGAGCAGGCAACTAAATTTCATTTTTGATGTGTGCCGTTGTGCCCACAGTAAAAAAAAAATGACAATAAAGGTTATCTTATCTCAGGGGTGGCGAACCTATGGCACGGGTGCCAGAGGTAGCACTCAGAGCCCTCTCTGTGGGCACGCGCGCCGTCGTCCCAGTCCTAGGCCTTCAGCTGGGTTTTATAAAACCTTTTCGCTTTAGGCCTCCGCCGCCGTGTGCAAAAAAAAAAAAAAGTTCAATCAATCAGTCAATTTCAACTTCTCGCGGGGGAAAAAAAAAGATCTTGCAAAGTTGGAATTGATTGATTGAACTTTTTAGTCCCACCCAGTCTGCCGTTACCACCGCAGCCATACCCAGCCAATGGGCCACACCCACCCAGCACCTGTCGATGCATAAGTGGGTTTTGGGTTGCAGTTTGGGCACTCGGTCTCTAAAAGGTTTGCCATCACTGTCTTATCTTATCTTATCTTATCTTATCTTATCTTAAGTCTCTGTACAATGACTGATGCCATTATCAATGCATACGAGACCAACTGAAGAGAACCTTTGTAGCTCAGCTTCCAAATGTGCTCGTAAGACGAGGCTGATCTATACCAAACGGATTCCTCAGCCTCAGAAGAAAGAACCAGGAACCCCCTTCCCATCCTTTTTAACCATCTTCTTTTCCAAGAAACTCACATTGATAAGCTCCTGGTCACACTGTCCTCGCTCGTAAGCCACGCAAGCCAGATGGGGATCTCTCTTCTCACAGTACTTCCCCACCACGCGGCTGTCGTAATAGGGGTTCTCTCGTAAAAACCTTTCTGGGTTATTGTTGCTATCGATGTAAATTTTAGCCAGGGCGTTGTGAGTAGCCGGTTCTTCACAACCCTCGTGAATTCTTGCTTCCAGCCAGGGCAGGAGGAGTTTCAACCTAAGGAGGAAACGGCATTGGGTTTTAGACAGCTCCCAAATTGGGCTGGCAGTTGTTGCCTTCTAGGATGGGGTCCCCAATCTTAGCAACTTTAAGACATAATAATGATAATGATAACAACAACAACAAGAGTTGGAAGGAAGCTTAGAGGTCTTCTAGTCCAACCCCCTGCTCAGGCAGGAAACCCTATACCATTTCGGACAAATGGCTGTCCAGTCTCTTCTTAAAAACTTCCAGTGTTGGAGCATTCACCGCTTCTGGAGGCAGGTTGTTCCACTGGTCAATTGTTCTCACTGTCAGGAAGTTTCTCCTTAGTTCTAGGTTGCTTCTCTCCTTGATTAGTTTCCATCCGTTGCTTCTTGTCCTGCCTTCAGACGCTTTGGAGAATAGCTTGACTGCCTCTTCTTTGGGGCAGCCCCTGAGATATTGGGACCCTGCTATCATGTCCCCCCTTGTCCTTCTCTTCATTAAACTTGACATACCCAACTTGTGGATTTCGACCCCCAGAATTCCCCAGCCAGCCACCCATGAATGAAATAAATATGGACTATTTTCAGCCAGTTGCTGAATATAGAACTGGAACTGAAACATGGGAATTCACAGGAAGTTACCTGTTCCTTTTTTCCACTTCGGCGACAAGTTCATCAGTGGAGAATTGACCTCTCACCACCAACATCAAATTCTTGATGACATCTTCAGAGCAGTCCACGTCCAACAAGCCGCCAATGACTACTGGCAGACGGCTCGGGTTCACCTGCAGCCATAATTCAATTCAATTCAGTTCAGGTCAGGTCATTAGATGGCATATACAGGCAGTCCTCAACTTACAAGCATTCACCACCATTGGAAACTTTCAAGCACTCGTTTAGTGACCACGGGAGTTACACAGCATTGAAAAAAAGTGATGTAGGACCCGCTTTTCACACTCATGCAGCATCCCCATAATCGTGGGATCAAAATTCAGACGTTTGGCAACGGGCATGTATTTCTGATGGCTGCAGTGTTCCGGGGCCGTTTAATCCCCATTTGCGACCTTCCGATGAGCAAAGTCAACGAGGAAGCCAGAGTCGCTTTAACAGCCATTACTAACTTAACAACTGCAGTGATTCAATCAATCAATTAATCAATCAATCAGAATAGAGCTGGAAGGGATCTTGGAGGTCTTCTAGTCCAACCCTCTGCTTCCATTTAACAAGTGTGGCAAGGAAGGTCGTAAAATGGGCCAAAACTCATTTTTGAGATTCTAGGCTGACGACTTGTTTAACACCACCTCTCAGCAATGCATGTTCTTTTCCTACATTTCCACCTGGTCGGGTAGGGAAGATATGTTGCAGACCCCGGCAGTTAAAGAATTTCAACTGGCGGGGTCCAGGAAGAGAGCCTTTTCTGCCATTCCCCCTGCCCTATAGGACATTCTCCCCCCAGAAGTAAGGTGCCCCCCCCCATTTTCCTGGCCTTTGGGAAATGTCTGAAGACCTGGCTCTCCTGTCTTCCTTGGGGTTCATACATGAACATGAAGCCATGGAGCTGGTTAGTGCCCCCAAAGCCATTCCCCTGCCTTTTAATTAACCCTTTTAATGTTGAATTTTAATAATCCTAGCCTCTTTTTAAATTTTACATACAGTTTTTATGTTTTAATATTTTATTTGCACACTGTCTGAGGGAGACGGGTGCTTTCTAAATTTGATAAATAAATGAAATTTTTTTTTAAAAAAAACCAAAGTTGTGCCTTAATAGATGATCTTACCTTTTGCACGTAGATCTCAATGTATTTCTGGAGATTGTTCCTATACAGATACAGGACCAAGTCGTGAACAAAGTCAAAGCGGTCACAAACAATGATCAGCGGGAGCTGGTCTGTCAACTTGGCTTCCTGCAAACAGAAAGTGGGGATTTGTTAATTTATTTATTTAATGGCTGTCTGGGGCTACTCAGCTCTACAGCAAAAAGCCAACAATAATCCGAAACACCATCACTTTAACCTTTTTACCCAAGATATCAAATATAAAATGGCAACCAAACAATGGGATCAATCTTTGCATGGATAAGCCCAAGAGGTCAACTAGCCAGGAACAGCTGAATTCCCATTCAAATCTTTCCTTAAAAGGACACATTTTAAGGTGTTTTAAGGTCTTCTCCAAGCTCCTACAGTCCTTTTAAAGCGACGGAGGACCCAAACACAGCTTTCCAGCCAGCTCGGGTCCCCCAAAAGAGTTTGACCAAAAGCACAAGATCACAAAGGATTACAAGCCTATTCTAAGCATCGGTATTAATCAGCTGCAGCAATTCTTGAGTGTGCAGGATGAAATCTGGGATTGCAAGAAATAAGATATAGGCATTTTGTTTTCCCTCTCCCTCTCCACCCACCCAGGCTCATAAATTGCAGTGGTTAAACAATTCCCAGATATCCAGAGAGGGAAATTTTTGCCAACAGGAAAAATACACTC